TGCAAGTTCAGCACTAGAAGTAAAGAAAATTTGATGCATTATTGACACACATGATATTATCTACCAGATTAAACATCTGGTTTTTATTTTTATTTTGAAAATAGGAAATATAAATGGACATTGTCCAGAATATGAATACAGTGTTTTTATAAATACATACCCTTTATTAAACTTAGTTAGGGTTACCATTCTGACTTCTCTAACAGAATATGCTAATCTCAGTTAACATATAAAATATTTGAATTTAAACTAGAAAACGTTTTTTTGTTATTTAAAATGCCCTAGAAACTCTCAAGTCTATTCCTTTGTATCTGTTCTTTTGTTACAAATAGTATCAAACATTACTTCCTAATTTTGTGCCCTACTGACTCTGAAAGATTTACTTTAAAAGTTTTTCATTTTGCTTAGCAGCTTACAAAGAGAATGTTAAACATAGGATTGCTCATGATAACAGAAAAAATAGATCTTATGTCTCTCAATCATGAATATAGTTTGTTTGGGTTACTTTGTCCATATGCATTTTAAAACTGAAATATTTGCCTTTGTAACGTCAGCCATGGTGTGTTTAGTAGGCATTTCAATAAAGGACATGATGGATGAATGAATAAACTGTATAATTTATCATGAACCTTAACATGGTATTTCAGTATATTTTTCTTGTAGCCATACTCTGATTAACTCTTGGGATACAGGAAATACAGTATGAAAGAGAGAGTGTCTAATATTTGGCTTTCTAACCTGGGTGTTTTTGTTTTGTTTGTTTTTTTCTTTTTCTTTTCTTTTTTTTTTCTTTTTCAGAAAAATTATTATCTCTTCTACCAGAGTATGTTGTTCCATATACAATTCACCTTTTGGCACATGACCCAGATTATGTCAAAGTACAGGATATTGAACAACTTAAAGATGTTAAAGAGTAAGAGTTTTTCCATCCCATTTTCATATTTTCTGAAAGTTGTTTTTTCCCCCTTAATGTTGATAATGGGATCTCAATTATAATTAGTTTATGGATGTAGTTCATTTCTTAGGTATTTAAGGTTCTTTCCTTTATTTGCTCTTTTTTATACCATCTCTTCATGTCACAGTTTTTAATGTATTTAATAATTTTCCAAGACTTAATTAAGCATAATTACTATATCTTAGTTCCGTTTCTCTACTCGTCTGATGTTTCTTTTCTATTGAAATAATCAATTAAAAGTTTCCATTTCATTTTTTATCTTTTCCTACTTTCTTCTGAAACTGTGTAGATTTTTATGAGTTGAATTAATAATCTCCTTTACCTGTGTGTTTAGTAAGCACATTTTTCTTTGTAGTAACTGTCTTCCTCCATAGGAATAGAGAATGGTGTAATAATGGGCCAAGTTCGTAACTAGGGAATTTCTCTCACTTAAGACTTCATTGGTGATTTTCTAATTAGAGTTTATGACATTTGTAATTCTTTCAGAGATTGTTGTTGAAATGCTGAAAACACTATAAACATGTCATGTTGTGGAATAGGAGAATATAGTAAGCATGAGTCCCTGGTCCTCTTTGTTACAATAAAAGATGACTGTTGTGGTTTTGAATCAATTAATTTATTATGCCTTTAGCTTCCTATTAAAGAAAAATAATTCTTACTTTCTTAATTTATAGAAATATTTTTCAGTTAAATATTTGAGAGGTACCTCAGGAGAATAAAGTCAAATTACTGATTACTTCTCATGGCAAGAGAAAAAGCAATTACTTTTTTTTGCCACAGTTTCCATTAAAAAAAAATAAAGCAATTAGTTTTCCCAAAATGAGTTCTGTGTTAGAGCGATTATAACTTATAAAAACTTCTAGCCGCCTCTCTCTATCAGAGAACATTGGTGTTTTAAAATAAAGAAAATACCTTTTAGAATTTACTAGACATTTTAGGCTATATTTCTAAATTGCCCCAATATAGTCATGAGTAGTCTCCATCTATCAGAGAGCCACTCTAGAAGAACATATCCTATTCTTGAAATTTTAAAGGTTATTTTTTCTGTTCTAGGATAATGCCTTCCTTCACATTTCTTTCTCTTCCTTCTCCAGTTACTTTTTTCCTCTATATATCAACTATAATTGTCTGTTTCTGTCTACATAGTACATAGACAAAGCAGTTTTCATTTTTTATTGAATAGAATTTTATGTAATTAACTTTAAAACTATGCTACTCAAACTTTTTAATTTTTCCCTCATTAAGCAAAGATAGCATGTGTAGTTGTCAACTATGACTTTTTCCTCTCTATTGATGAAGATTCTTAGCTATTTAATAAAGTGGTTATATTCTCTTGAAGACTTCCCATGAGGACTACAGACGGTCTTGCATATCCATGGCCTCACTTGATTCATTGCACAACTATTCTTTTAGGCAGTCTTCACTTCTGGTCATAGCCAGGGGTGAAGATGACTTCATTCTTCCCACTGTTTATGTTTCTTTTTTAACCTGCTTCCTTGGGAAATTTAATGAAACTTTGAGAAGGGTCTTAGAAGCTTACATCTGCATTGCTGATGTGTTGTTATATGTATGTATGACATATCCTTTTTCCCTGCTGATTTGTAGCTGTTTATTTTAAATTTTTTTCTCCTGTTAAGAGTTATAATCTAGGTTCATTGTATTTATATTTAGAATTAGTTTGTATTTAACAAAGGTTATTTTTCTTCTATGTTTATTTTTTCTTGTTTTTTTAGATGTCTTTGGTTTGTTCTGGAAATATTAATGGCTAAAAATGAAAATAACAGTCATGCATTTATCAGAAAGATGGTAGAAAATATTAAACAAACAAAAGATGCCCAAGGACCAGATGATGCAAAAATGAATGAAGTATGTAGTTCTTTGTAAATAATTATGGTTCCATGTTGATTTAAACATTTGGGTCTAGGGTGTGAAGCAAATGTAGTATTTATAGACAATGTTAAATAATTTTTTCTATTAGTATTTCTATTAGTAGTAATTAGAATCACTAATATAGAGTTAGTAGTAATTTTATTAGTAACAACTAATGAAAACAATAGTGCAAGCTAAAATGCTTACACTGACTATTGCTTTCATTGGTTTACTGTTTAGACTGGATATATGTTCTAGAATTACTACTGATTTACAGAGTGTAGGATGCCAGCTTAAGTACCTAATTTTTAAAAAATACCATTGCAGAAACTGTACACCGTGTGTGATGTTGCCATGAATATCATCATGTCAAAGAGCACCACATACAGTTTGGAATCTCCTAAAGACCCAGTCCTACCAGCTCGTTTTTTCACTCAACCTGACAAGGTAGTTGCTTTAGAATTTGTGTAAGTTGAAATAAAATGCATTCTCAGCACTAGGTTTTGGGAAAATGAGGAAGTATTAATATCAAGAGTTGGCCCACTGCTGTTGACCTGGAAAGATTGCCATGAGTCTTAAAAATGTGGTTCAAGACCAAAATATGGGCCAAATTGGAGAATACAGATAAGGTTCAGAGATTAGTTAGGATGATCTAGTAGTGTTTATATTCAGTTTTAAGCCAGTCTAAAAGCACAGGCTAAAATGTGATTAAAATATATGGATTTGTGGATTAATGGCTATTGTCCAAAATGGGAAGGAGAATGCAGTTTAAAGTTAAAAGTCCTTAATGGGATATAAAATTGGTATGAGGAAACAAGTTTAGAACAGATACTGGAATAGGCCCAAGACTGTAGGAACACTGCAAGAGTGTTCCCAAACTACTCTCCCCAAAACTCAAGTGTTGTATGAGATGTAAAAAATATTTTCCACAGTCCTTCTTACTCCCTCATAATTTATCTAATCCCTCATGATTTATCTGAGCACATTGCATAACAGAGTCTGGAAACCACCACTACCCTCTTCTGGTTTTGAAGCAAAATGCCAATTACAGTCTTACCAGTGTACAGGATTTGGAACAGCCTTGTCGTTTATTCAGTAGCTAAGATGGCTGTCTGTTTTAAAGCATTCCCCTTTGTTTGAGCAAGGTAACAGGAGTATATGTGGTCTCTTTCCTGGAGGGTTTTATTACAGAAGCAAGTGTTTTCTGATGTGCTCTTAGAGTGCTAGCATGTTAGCACTCGAATATGTTTTGTTAGCATATTGGAGTTGGTAGGAGGTTAGTTTAAGCTTATTAAAGCAGTTAAAATGAGTGACTGAAATTTTGTGTTTAAACTCATTATTTAGTTTAAATAAGTATGTACTTTATTATTCTGTACTTTAAAAGAAAAAACTGCTGTATGCTTTGTTGGCTTTTGAACCACCTCATAGATAATAGTGTGTTAATATTCACTGACTGCTTCTTTTTCCCTTGCTTGTAGAATTTCAGTAACACCAAAAATTATCTGCCTCCAGAAATGAAATCGTTTTTCACTCCTGGAAAAGTACGTTTTGAGAATCATTTTAATTTTTATGTGGTAGTTTATTTTAGTGTAAATATTGGCATATTTGAAGAAATATTATGTATTTCTTCAGAAATTTGTGTATCTTGAGGTAGAAAATATAATTATTTAGCTATCTTCCATTTACTAGTAAGCAATAATTATATTTACTAGATAGATGTAAGCCGAGATAAACAAACTTACTTTTGGGCTTGTATTTAAGCCCAAGGAGATCTTGTTCCTTAGATTTCTTATCCTAATATCAAGATAAAAATCTTAAAATACATAAGCATCATTTTATGTCCTTCTATAGCAATACTTTATCTGTTTTCATTGTTGACTATACATTATATTTGTTTTTACTTTCTGTGTAAGCCTTTTCGTCCAAATAAATAAGAAACTCAACTGTTATACTACATATATAGTTTTTAATTTGTTCAAGTGATGTTCAATTTATAATTCTTATTTTGCTTAAGGATTGGGACATTTTTTAATGATCTGTATGTGAGTAGCTTGATAGAGATGTTAATTATGGTTCTTTACATGTAAATTCTTTTGGCTTTTCCAAATAGAAAGAGATGTACATTTCTCATTTCAGCCTAAAACAACAAATGTTCTAGGAGCTGTTAATAAGCCACTTTCATCAGCAGGCAAACAATCTCAGACCAAATCATCACGGATGGAAACTGTAAGCAATGCAAGTAGCAGCTCAAATCCAAGCTCTCCTGGAAGAATAAAAGGAAGGTAAGTATTACATTTATTATTCTAGCAAGGCTATGAGATCTAAACTAATATAAACCAAAATATTTCATGTCAGCGAATGGAAATGAACACATTACTTTCCCATTTAACATTGATAGTCACAAAGTTCAGGTTTATTTGCTTGCTAATTTTGGATGGGTGCACAACCTTAGCTTTTCATACTTTAGCTTCTTGGGGTGATCTGTGTTAGTACACATAAACTAGTTTCTAACCTCAGTGTATAGAAATTGTAAAACTCTTATATTGTGGTATACACATAGAGTGGAAAACCTAGGCATTAAAAATGATGAGGTCTGAGTCAGTATGGAAGAGTTTCCACAACACATTATTGAGTGATAAAGGCAAAGTATATAAAAGAGCATTATGGTATCTTTAAGTTTTGAAAAAGGATTTATGTTCACATTTTTAATATATACATAGAAAGTTTTTTGAAGAATATACAAAATCTTACCAGTGTTTATGATAACCTAGTATAGGAGGGAGATTATACTTTTTGGTATAGTTTGAATTTCTTTCTACCATGTACATTTATAAACTCTTGTTTGTTTAAATAGTTTTAAAAATGATTCTTTTTTTCTTTTTAAGGAATAATAGGAAAAATAATTCACACTTTCACTGATTTTAACATAAGTGCTTAGGACACTATTTGTTAGCATGTTAGTATGGGGCTCAACTGCCACTATTTGGGGGTTTGCCAAGTTATTATGAAAGACTGCTATCTTTTGCATTGTGCATAACCAATCAGTAAAGAAAAGAGGAGCCAGGCGAGGTGGCTGTAATCCTAGCTCTCTGGGAGGCTGAGGTGGGTAGATCGTTTGAGCTCAGGAGTTCGAAACCAACTTGAGCAAGAACGAGACCCCGTCTCTACTATAAATAAAAAGAAATTAATTGGCCAACTAATATATATAGAAAAAATTAGCCAGGCATGGTGGCGCATGCCCTGTAGTCCCAGCTACTTGGGAGGCTGAGGCAGCAGGATTGCTTGAGCCTAGGAGATTGAGGTTGCTGTGAGCTAGGCTGACGCCAGGGCACTCACTCTAGCTTGGGCAACAAAGTGAGACTCTGTCTCAGAAAAAAAAGAGGAGACATTCTAAGCCTTACCAATTTGCTTGTTTTGAATAAATTTTGGATGATATATAGTATGATAGAAATAGAAGAGAAAATTACATCTATAGCTTTTATTTTGTTTTAAATTCCTGTATTAATCATAACTTTAGTACCTAATACCTAAGTGACCTTTCAGCTATATCACTGGGACATTTCCTAGCAGATAGTCTCATATGTAACATGACCAAAAGTGTTTCCATCAACTTGTTTTCTAAATTACTAGGTTTTCTCCTTGAATTCCTGTTATTATCAAAGGTGATCTGATTTACCCAGTAATCTAGTCTGAGAGTCTCAAAATAATCTTGACTCTTCATCTATATTTGTTTAGTTGCTAAGTTTTACCATTTTTTTTTCTATACAGTGTTTTGTATTTCTCTTTTTACTGTCATTTAGTTAATTTCCTTTCTTTAATTATTGTAGTATTTGACTATTTCCCTTTTATTCCTCCTGCAATGTTATGTTGTATCATTGCTAAATAATCTTTTAAAAATGCTAATGTTGTCATATTATTTCATTACTCAGAAATCGTAATTGGCTCCCTTATTTGCTTTCAAGATAATTGTAGTTTCACCCTTTCCTTATTTCCCATTGTTATTCAACATAAATGTGTCTTAATTTTCTTCCTGTACTTTTTCAATATTCTTTTCTTTAAATGTCTTTTCAACCTTTGACCAATCTCTGTTGTTACTTTTTTCCCTCTGAATTCCATCTGTTCAGTAAGACTCTTTATTTTGGAATGAGCTGGGTATGTTTGAGAGACCAGTTTGCTTGGAGAGTAGGAATGAGGGAAAAATGATAAGAGGGGAAGTTGAGAGGTAGCCAGGTTATGTTTGGACATTGGGAATCATGGTAAGAATTTGGATTTGATTTTAAATGCAACTGGAAGATACTGTCACAGAGTCTGGTGATCTAATTTGTGCTTTTAAAGAAATTTCCTGGACAATTTATGCAGAATGTGCTATAGAGGAGCTAGAGTTGACATAGAAAAACCAGTTAGGAGTTAGTTAATAGTAATTGAAGGGATAAAGAGGAAAGAAGATGGTAAATAGTCAAATTTTGGTTTTATTTTGATGTTAGATCCAAATGGTCTTCCTGATGGATTGGATGTCTGTATTTAGGGAAAGGGAGGATTTAAAGATGCATCTGGGTTTTTTTTTATTTTTAGCTGCTTTTGGCGCGAAAGATCGCATCTGGGTTTTTTACCTGAAAAAATTGATAGATGGTGATGCCATTTACTGAGAAATAGAAGCCTTGATGAACAATAGGCTGTGTGTTTATATGTCTGTTTGGGGGAGTTGAGGAAAAGAGGAATGTCCAAATAACTTTTGTCTGTGTTAAAGTTCAGGTGCTTGCTAGAATTTAAGCTGAAGTGTTAAGTAGACAATTGGATATGTGAGTTTAGAACTCAAGATGGTGGGCCAGGCGTGGTGGCTCATGCCTGTAATCCTGGCACTCTTGGAGGCCAAGGCGGGCGGATTGCTCAAGGTCAAGAGTTCGAAACCAGCCTGAGCAAGAGCGAGACCCCGTCTCTACTATAAATAGAAAGAAATTAATTGGCCAACTAAAAAATATATATATAAAATTAGCCAGGCATGGTGGCGCATGCCTGTAGCCCCAGCTACTCGGGAGGCTGAGGCAGTAGGATTGCTTGAGCCCAGGAGTTTGAGGTTGCTGTGAGCTAGGCTGACGCCAGGGCACTCACTGTAGCTTGGGCAACAAAGTGAGACTCTGTCTAAAAAAAAAAAAAGAACTCAAGATGGTGGACCAGAGATTGAGATTTAGGGTTCAACAATGTATAAATGGTTTTAAGAACCAGATAAAAATGAGACTACCCAGGACAAAAGCCTGGACCTTTATACCAGTGTGTAAGAGCATGTGCTGTTAATTCATTTAACAAGTATATATTGAGTGCCTACTCTATGTCTGGCACTGATTCAAGTACATAGTATACATTGGTAAGTACAATTGACAAAAGATTCATGCTTACATTCTAATAAGGAAAGATAGTCTGTAAATAATAAATGTAACAACTATAGTGTGTTAGAGGGTGTTAAATGCTACATACAGAGAGAAGAAAAAGTAGCATGGGGATAGGGCAGGTTGCAGTGTGGACCAGTCTAACTTACCAACAAAAAAGGTTTTAATTTGCTCCCTCTAGATTTTAATTTGTTCCCTCCATATTTTAATGTTCCCTCCAAAATAGAATTTCAGTTTTAAAAAGACTTACGAAAAAAACATTATGTGTTTTTTTTAAATTTCCCCACTGTACTAAATTAAATGAGCTTCACTGCTTATTGATTTGGTGCTAAATATCATAGAATAAAACTGATTAATTTTTTAAAAGAATGAAACTTTTCTCTATAAAGCTACACTAGGGAACAGAAAGAGCTTTTAAGGTTATTTGATAGTAATAACAATTATAAATGTCTATATTGAAAGGCTTGATAGTTCTGAAATGGATCACAGTGAAAATGAAGATTACACAATGTCTTCACCTTTGCCGGGGAAAAAAAGTGACAAGAGAGAAGACTCTGATCTTGTAAGGGTGAGATATTTGCATTGATTTTATACTATTAATAATTGTACTATATAAATAGTAATTTTTACACTGAAACCAGTTAACATTACTATCAAATTTGACATTTGATTTTCTTTTAGTGGTTTTAATCACAAATTTGAGTTTATAATTATCTGTTACTGTGTAATTTAAGTATATTGAATCTCTGTGCTTCTTCTCATTGTGATACATCTTAATTCTTAGGTCTTTGGAATGAAACATGCCAGTTCCATACTCAGAATTGCTTGTTTTTTGGGGGTTTGGCGTTTTTTTGTTTGTTTGTAAACACAGTATGTTTAAACTTAACCATAGAGAATGAGAATGGAACAAGAGTTCTTCAAGGCTTTTCCATTTAGTTGATTTTTTGAGCCTTTTACTAAATAAGCTTCTAGTAAAGGTAGAAAATGCCGCAGTTCTCAAAGTTCTTATTCAGTTTTTAAATCTTTATATAAATGATAATCTGTGTGATAGACACAATTTGTAAATGTCATTTGAAGAAAATTTGGTAAAGTTTTAGTATATATACAGAATACAGTTATGTATTCCAGCACAACTCAATGGACTTAATAATTGGGCTCATTTTGACTTTTTGGCTCATCTTCTAACTATTTCCTGAATAAATAATTAGGCTCTCTGAATCAGTTTTCTTATGTGTAAACTGTAGATATTTAGTTGCATTTATCAGAATAAATGAATTAGGCCAGGCGCTGTGGCTCACGCCTGTAATCCTAGCTCTTGGGAGGCCGAGGCGGGTGGATTGCTCAAGGTCAGGAGTTCAAAACCAGCCTGAGCAAGAGCGAGACCCCGTCTCTACTATAAACAGAAAGAAATTAATTGGCCAACTGATACATATAATATAAAAAAAAAAAATTAGCCGGGCATAGTGGCACATGCCTGTAGTCCCAGCTACTCGGGAGGCTGAGGCAGAAGGATCACTCGAGCCCAGGAGTTTGAGGTTGCTGTGAGCTAGGCTGACGCCACGGCACTCACTCTAGCCTGGACAACAAAGTGAGACTCTGTCTCAAAAAAAAAAAAAAAAAAAGAATAAATGAATTAGCCTAAATGAATTGTTGCTGCTGTTTTATTGTTGTTATAATGAGTAATACTATTGATTAATGGCTATTATAGTGATAAAAGTTAAAGTGTTTGAATCTACTTGATTAATAGAGGTAGGGAATTATCAACAAAATAATTACTATTGCTTTCTCTGTCCCTCTTGTTTGCTTCCACTGGCCTAATATTACACATCTCAGTGTTTTTTGGAGGTTTCTTCAGCAATTTATTTTGCCAGATTGTTTC